GAGGCTCGGAGGTCAGTGATTTTGACACTTCTTTAACAGATCTGTGGAGAGGCGAGCCCGCTCAATAATGCATGTTTTTCAAGGTATTCTTGACTAATTCTTACAACTGTAATGAAATAAATGCTGCAGGTTTGAATCTAATCCGCCCAGAGGTTTGGTGTAGTTATGACGGCGCTCGATGGAGTATTCATGCGGGTTGATGTAAACAAAAACTTTTTTGAAAACAATGCTAGGGAAATATTCGTTTCTCAACATACTATGTGAAAACATAGCCTGTAACTGCCTTTGCATTTTGGTCTTAAAATGTTCACATGTACCTGTTCTACATGATCCTGGTGTTTTTATTTTGCTATTTTGTCCATAAATACATTTCTTTTCCTAATATCGAACTCAGCTTAGGGCTGCTCGATTATGGAAAAAATCATTATCACGATTATTTTGGTTAAAATTGAAATCACGATTATTCAAACGATTATTTTTTATTTACACGATGCATTTATTCAGCATTTCTCTCACAAAAAACACTTTGTTATTGATAATTTAAGCAAAACTTTCAAATTGAAAATAAATATAGGCTACAAATATGTAGCCTAATTCATCTACTTCGTGGAAACTGTCGAACTTCGCAGCATTAGGATTTATTCGCTCGATGGTAGGCGGGTACTTTTTTATTTAACAAGTCGCTGCTATTTGGTCGTGACGTATGTAATGCACCGCTAACGGGGCTAACTGGTATATAAGCTTTTCTCAAATCCCGTAGGAAGAAGGACAATAACATCTTTCCCTTTGATAAAATTCACCAAATATTCTCTTCCAGCTTTAAATCCTTAATCTTGGGAATCGTTGGCTGGTGCCCGGACTCGCACTTCCAGGATTTTTGCAAACTGTCTAGTGTATTCTGATTCTTGACCTAGTGGCTGGAGAGAAATGAAATTGAGCGAAGGCACTAGGTGGTGCCAACCTGACTAACAAATATTTACCTTATAGAAGTTTTGCAATGTATAAAACAAAAAATAAAATAAAATAAAATACACTTTGAACAAAGCATAGAAAAACATAAATGTATAAACTATATATCCAGTTGTTCTACAGTCTCTATGTTAAAATAAATACCCTCAAAATAACTTTTGTTAAGCTTTAATCGTTTCAACTCGATTATATCAGCTCCAAATTCTCCCCGTAACCTCCCCATCAGCCTTGTGATCTTTATTTGCCTGGAGCTGAACGATATGGTGACGTCACGCTCCCCTAGTCCATTTCTTTATACAGTCTTTTACACAGAAGTTAGGAATGATTTAATAAAATAATCCTTAAATGTGAGTACCAGTTCCACTGAGCCACTAGCTACAACTAACTGTAACTCACTGTTGAAACACTGGCATACTTGTCTCCGGAGATGTTAGGGGTTTTCTTGTAATTTTATTGCATGTCAGTCATTTTGTTTTTTGATTTTGATTTTGTCTTTTACTATGTATCACAAGTCCACAATACATTTACTTAACACAAAGATTAAACTTAACTTAATAGATCACCATTCTTCTTTTCACAATTTCAGTGGTTTACTTGGGTTTTTTCTGACTTACAGAATACTGATTACCCAAATTAAAATGAGTCCAATCAGTGTACTGTATTCTGAAAACTTTGAATACTTTTACACTGAGTTGCACTGAAATTATAATGTAAAAACATGAAAAAACTGTAACTGTTGTTAAAACACTGGCATAGTTGTCTCCTACGATGTTGGGGATTTTCTTTTCATTTTATTGCATGCTCGTCATATTCTTTTTCTTGTTTTCCTTTTTTTTCTAACTGCATCACAAGTCCACAATAACTCTATCTATCTACGGTGACAAAAACGTAACACAATCAAGTGTTCAAAAGCACCATAGCACCATTATTCTTTTCTTTTCCTTAGGTGTTTTCTGACTTATATTCATGTACTTAGTTACAGAATACTGAACACCCTAATTAAAATGAGTCCAATCAGAGTACTATATTCTGAATACTTTGAATACTTTTACAATGAGTTGCATTTAAATTATAGTGAAAAATGTCTTAAATGTGAGTACCAGTTCTATAAAGGATCTCGCTGTAAGTGTAACTCATTGTTGAAACACTGGTATAGATGTCTCCTACGATGTTGGGGGTTTACTTTTACTTTTATTGCATGTCTGTCATATAATAACTCAATATCTACACACAATACACCATAACTCTATCTAGGGTGACAAAAATGTAACACAATCAAGCGTTCAAAAGCCTGAACCATAGCACCATTCTTCTTTTCACAATTTCAGTGGTTTCCTTGGGTCTTTTCTGACTTACAGAATACTGATTACCCAAATAAAAATGAGTCCAATCAGAGTACTATACTCTGAATACTTTGAATACTTTTACACTGAGTTGCATTTAAATTATAGTGTAAAAACATGAACAAATTCTTAACCCTCACGCTCTCCTTGGGGTCACATTGACCCGAAGAAAACATTTCTTTCCTTCCCGCTCTCTTGGGGCGAGTCAATCAAACCCAAAAATGTATTTTCTCTCCTGGTGAGAATTTATTTGAAAATAAATTTTTGGGTCTGATTGAACTGCCCCAAGAGAGTGGGAAGGAAAAAAAATCTTTGGGTCAATGTGACCCTGAGGAGAGGTAGTTCTACTGTATTCTGAATACTTTGAATACTTTTACACTGAGTTGCATTGAAATTATAGCGTAAAAACGTGAAAAAAATTCTTAAAGTTCTATAGAGGGTCTCGCTGTAACTCTAACTGTATCATTGTTGAAACACTGGTATAGCTGTCTCCTGTGATGTTAGTTTTTTTTTTTTTTTCTATTGCATGTCCGTTATATTCTTTTTCTTGTTTTCATTTTTTTCCTAACTGCATCACAAGTCCACAATAACTCTATCTAAGGTGACAAAAACTTAACACAATCAATCAAAAGCCTGAACCATAGCACCATTCTTCTTCTCACAATTTCAACGGTTTCCTTGGGTCTTTTCTGACTTAAAGAATACTGCATACACAAATGAAAATGAGTCCAATCAGAGTACTGTTGAGTTGCATTTAAATTATAGCGTAAAAAGGTGACATAGTATTAAAAAAGTTTGTAAAGCATTTCCATCACTGATTGGCGAAGTAAAAATCACACATGCCTCACCACAAGAGCAGAGTCTTCTATTTTTCTCACTAATTCTGCGCAGCTTGAATTCTAAATTAAAGAAAAGTAACTACTCTATTCTCCAAATTAGTATTCAGAGTACGTATTCTCGGTGCGTGTATTCAGTGAGTTCCCAACACTGGACTTGGGGCCTGTCCTAAAATGAGCCTGTCCCTTTAAGCGTCATGTTTTACTAAGAGCCTGTGCAGCTGTGGAAAGTTCTGTCACTTTCACACTTGGACGCAGATGTTTGACACCACTGCACCACTTCCAATAAAGCGTCATGAGAAACTGACACTAACTGATTTTATTCTAATACTGCGTTCAAACCCACAAGTGCACTCTCTTCAAACTGCAGCATACTCTACAGAAAGCACCTGCACTCACAAAGAGCTTAAATTCTTAGCTTAAAGTTGCACTGCGCAGCTTTTCGGTTCTGTTTGTCTCCATGGAAACGTTACTGCTTCGTCTAGAATGTCCCACAGTATAGATTAAACCTGTTTATCACGAGGGAGACGAGCAGGTTACAGCACGACGCTACATTATAGGTCAGATCTGTGGGGAGTCGCCCCTATTCACAGAAGGAATGATTGTATTTTTGAGGAACAAACACATGTGATGAATAAATGCAAGATGAATATGTTTAATGTCATAACATGGAACATTCCAGGCAAAGCAATAACATCTCCATAGAGACAAGCAGGTAGAGGAAAAGTTACAGAGTGCACCTTTACCTCTTTGCTTTAAGAATACAGGATAATTACCATAAAAACAAGAACTCTGTCTTTATCAGGAGTTAACAACTGATTACTAAGAAACTGGTGACTTCCTTAAACTCAGTAGTTGTTAGAAATTGCTCAGTATTGTGATTGATTGATTAGATCATTCTGGTTTGGGGCTCATGTCTGTGTATTTCACTCATCAGCAGTTAGAAAATTGACGGTTCATTTACAGATTAATCAAACTTTTATATGTGGCTGACTGCGGGCCACTGTGTTAGTTATTAGTGAGTTTATTTTTCTTCGGTCAATTAAGATAATCATTAATCACATCACAATGGTTTAACACAGAAATGATGCTCTCGTGAGTGCAGAGAGAAAGAGAGAGAGGCCTGGGATTAAAAAAATGACAATAACTTCATATTTACTGCTCTACTATATCGCTGTATTTATGCTTGTAATTATATTTATTTATGTATGACAAAAATACATATAAAGGATACATATAAAAACATTAAAATGCAGGTATGAACTCATCTTTTGGTAATGTTAGACTGAGTTACAGCACATTAAAGAGGCATTTTTGATTACATCACTGTGCTATTGTATCGCAATGTCACAACTGATAACTGCAAATACTCTCATAGGTCTGTGTGATTAACACTCAATGTTTATGTATAAGTAAAAAAAAGTGGGCTACAAAATGTAATACTTCAAATATTTGGTACGTTTTATATTATCAATGGGTTTATGATGAAAAACTAGGACTGTTGCTATAGCGATTAACAATCTAAAATGAAATATTTGATCTTTTGAATGGGAAAAGGTCTTCAAAATACAATACTATAATATTCTAAGCTGAAGAACGTTTGCATTTTTCAGTGTAGAGAGTTTCCAGTACCAGTAGCACGTTCTGCATAGTCGAAAAACTCGGAAGAATCTCTTGTTCTGATTGGAAGAAAGTTTCTGACATAATAATGATAATAAAATAATGGTTTTATATGGCGCTTTTCACAGTAACTTAAAGGCGCTTTACATAGCTGAACATTAAAAAAGGCAGTAAGCAGTAAAGTGGGGGCTGCAGGAACATCACTTTAACCATCAGCGGAGTTTGTACTCACCAAAGTCAACCACGACCTCTTCACCTTTCTGACCTAAAGTGAACCACCAGCCAGAGACGTTGTTGGTTCAGGAAGTTAAAATCCACTGGTGTAAAAGTGTGCTGCTCCTGAGTCTGTGTCTGTGACGATCTGGCCTTGAGATGATTCACTCGGTCACATTCTCTGCATGAGGCCTATTAGAGAGGAGGAGAGGGAGGGGCAGCCCGGACACCTTCACCCTCACACGGGCCCTGGTTGTGGGTTGGATTCCCGCTGCTGTCTCTTTGGCACCGCCCTGAGGAAAATGACGGTTTAGGCAGGTATTCCAACTGACTTTTTACATTACACATTTTACATTTACAGCAACTCACCTTTATAATGCCACTACCTTAGTCGTCATATAACATCATCTAACACAATATGTAACTGTAACTGATAAAAGTATTTTACTCATAGTGTGCTGGAAAATTTCAACCTCATTGCTGATTTAAAGTTTACAACAGCAGGTCCACAAACTAAAGGTAAACGATAGGCCTTGTAACAGATAACCCTGTGTCCATTATTTCATCTGAATGAATAAATGAAATGTATTTTTTAGTTGTTCACATTTTGCAAAACAGTACATTTTCTGTTTGTCTTGATTACAACCAAATAAGGACTGGGCTGAAGCAACTTGGTTATGCAAGTCCAACCTCACCATCACATGACAACGCAACAATATACAATAGTCACAACATAACAATATCCATTTACTTTCAACAATATTCTAAAAAAGAAATACCATTTTAACCAGTTTAATGCCATACTGTGAAAGATTTCAGACAAAGCAACTACATCTCTATGGAGAAAAGCATTTGAAGAAAATGCTACACAATGAAAAGTTCCACAATGCACCTTTAAGTAAAATCCTCCAATGGAAAAATCTATTTATATGGAGATGAGTCCTGAGTGCTGTAAGACAGAAGCTCACTGCTGCAGACAGGTTTAACCCAGTGGCATTGGGTGAAGTATGGGTCACATGCAGAGAATCAACTTCCCTTGCAAAGAATATTGAAGATAATCTTAGTTTTATGAGCCAAATCTGGTCTGCTGATCTGTGTACAAGTTATATTTGAACAAGATCATGTTACAACAGCAGTGGTGGAACGTAACAAAGTAAAAGTAGTAAAGTTATGTACTTAAGTTAAATATTTAGGTATCTGTACTTTACTTAAATACATTTGACAGTGGATACGTTTTACTTTTACATTTGAGAGCAGGCATCTGTACTTTAGACTTCACGACATTTAACTGCACTGAAAAGTAAAAGTATTTTTCATTACTGTTTGAGATCTATGGAAAAGTCTAAGGGTTTATTGTTAACATGTTCGAGCAAATAAAAATATACCAATAAAAACAGCTAAGAAAAAAATAACTGATTCACTTGTTTCTGCTGAAGAACATTCAGCACAAATCTGTATCAAAATCAATACGCTTCATGAGACCTCAAAATCTGTGTGAAATACGTTTACTTTTTACTCTTTAAGTACATTTTAAAACACATACTTCAATACTTTCACTCTTGTTTTCATGTGACACTTTTACTTGAGTATTTTTCTGCTCTGGTATCTGTACTTTAACTTAAGTAACCAAACTGAGTACTTCTTCCACTACTGTACAACAGCAGTCCCTTTACATTTAGATTTTTCATTGTGAGTGTCTTGCCCAAGGACAGACACATGCACAAGACGGGTCAGAGCAGCCCATAACACTCGCTGTATAAGAAAATATAAACAATGTGTGCTTGTGTAAGTAGGAATCAGATGTTAATATTGAAGATTTGTAAGTGAAGTTCACCATTAACTTGGTAAATCATCATATTCTAACACAATATGTAATTTAAGTAAAAAGTATTTTACTCATCACGTGTTGGAAAATTTCGACCCTGTTGTTAATCTCAAACTTACAACAACACGTCCACAAACTAAAGATAAACAATAGACACTTGGGACCGGGGTCAAACCTAAACTGGAAGGTGCACTGCGTAACTTTTCTTGGAAAGGGTGCACCATAAACTAGTCTGTCTCCATGTAGATGCACTGAACTGTTCAGCCTGGAATGTTTCACAGTAAGGCATTAAACAAATCTGTCAGGCCAAGGTACAGATCAGTTCAGTGGAGAGGCTGACCCGCTCACACAACAGTGCATGTTCTTAAAGGTATTTCCGTACAATAAAATCACCTCTAATGAAACAAAAGCTGAATAGACTTTTAATGCTATATTGTGGAACATGTCAAGCAAAGCAATACCATCTCTCTAAAGAAAAGAAAATGTGGTTTACCCTGCAGAAAGTTACACAATGCACCTTGAAGCAAAAGATAAACTTACAGTGAACTTCTAAGTCATGTTCTTATCACCTTTAGAGGAGACTAGAGCTAGGCCAAAATCCTTTATTCTGTCAATAAAAAAGTCCACAGTTTCCTGACTAAAAGGTGAAACATTGACAACTTCATTGGCTCTTTAAATGTTTTTGTGGGGTTTCGATTTGCCTGCTTGACTGAGACAGGTTGAAGACATGTGTATGTGGATTACTAGTTAAAAGCTCCTTATTGTTTTGGCCTATTTTTCCTAAAACACCTGGTGAAAATGACTGACTTTCTGAACCCTTTGGGGCACACACAACGAGCTGGATTCTTTGTGAAGCTGAGGCTCTGGAGTTTTGGCCTCTGCTCTCCTCTAACTGTCTCTGTACTCTCATTATAAGTAGGAACAAGCTCCACACAGAGGAAAATCAGATTTCAATTTCTGCCTACATTTTCAAAATATAAATATTATTTGTTATTATAAATAGTAAATATAAGAATAGGTATACCTGGTGTCTCTGGGGATGGGAGACAGTAGATTGAGCTTTTGTTGGGTTTTGACAATTTCCATGTCCAAGCTCAAGCTCACTAAACATGAGATTTAGGGACTTGGAATTGGGCAAAATAGTCCAAGCGGAATTCATATAATATTCCTATTAAATATGATTGAGTTATATATATATATATTTTATTTGTGGGTTTGGAGTGCAAACTGTTCATGAGATAAAGACTTCTCTTTTATCAGAAGCTGAACAAACAGAAATGAATGAAGAAAAAGCACAAGAGCCAGTATCAGCCCCTTGGAACATGAAGAGGTTTTAAAGCCCAAAAATCCTGACTGCCCAATGTGCTGCAGACTGCTGTCTATTAACATTATGGACTGAAGAGTGAAGAGGGGAAGAAAATAGAAATACAACGCCCTCTGTTGATCAGAATGAAGAAACCATTACAGATATAGCATGACCTAATTGAGTTACACGACGACTTAATATTTCACAGTAAAATCAGGTATTGTTATTTATTTGTATGTTTGTGGAGTCAATAAACTTAGTCTAACTCTGACCAGTACAATGTATATCTGAGATTACCTAGAAGATAGAATACTTCAGGTGACCAGACGTCCCTATTTACCCTAGACAGGACCAGTTTTGACCTCTGTGTCCCCTGTCCCAGAAGATTAATCCAAAACCAGTGATTTGTCCCAGTTTTATACAAGAAATATCCCACGTGTCCCTATTTTTACCCAATCTGATCCCTGCCTACAGTAAAGAGAAGCATGAATTGCACTTTGTTTAGGTAAAATAGTAAAAAAAGATGCTTAAAAATGACCAAAACACAAAGAAAATGTGACTATATTGACTCACATGTTAGTCATTAGTGTTCTCTGCGTAACAGTTTTCTTTAATTAGGCACTTGTTTCACAATTTTATTATTACCAACCACCAACACGGGGACGTCACAGTTTTTTATTTTGAAAATCTGGTCACCCAAAGAATAGATGTATTTTATAATAGCAGCTAGATAAATGATTGCCTCCACAGACCTAAAATATGCATATAGAAACTAAAAATCCATACATTATCAGAAGTGAACTCACCCACTGCACGCACAGTTGCGCCATGAGCGTCACCGGAAGTCGTATCTGCCATGTTTAGCTGCTTTGTTTTAGGTCCTTGTTGGTTTCCTGCAGATTTTAGCCTTTAACTCTCGCAATGGAGCCGAGCTGGAGTACATTTTTGTTTCAAGTAAGTGAAACAGACGTGCACGAGTCAGATCTACCACCGTGTTCGTTGCGCGGCGTCAAAATCGCCATCTGATTGTTTTATTTCACTTTCTGGAGTGATGCGCGTTAGCCGAGCAAAACAATGGTCTTAGCATTAGCTCGCTTGTTAGCTCAGCGCAAACCTGTTTTTTAATGATTAATTGGGAGTGTTTACGCGCAGCAAGCAGCGATCACAAGTAACACGCACGCACTGGTAAAGACTAAAGTAATATGCGTTAGTGTAAATGAATAAAATCACCTTAAAACAGGTTTTCACTGCTATTAATTTGGAAGCGCGCGTTAGCCATTTTGGAGCTAATGCTAACTAGTACTAGCGCATTTAGTTGCTTGGTCAGCGGCTGCCTAAATATCTTGTTGGTTAACCTGTGCTTTCTCAGCTCTTCTTCCAAATCCTTCTTTAATCACGCTGCAGATTTATTGTGGAATGTAGCGTACAGATCGGCGGGATTGGAAAGATCGCACGAAACTTGTCTCTGCTAAGAAGTTCGATGAATTAGCTCCGATGCTAACTGGAGTGGCTCACACGCGGACTGCAGCCTGTAACCGATACTCCACACACGAGAACATAGATTAGGAGATGTACCCTAAATATATCACTATACTGGTTATATATTGGATCGCTGAAACGATTTTGCGCCACGCTTGTGACTTGGAATACGTAAACCTTTGCAGTTTTGCGAACACACAGGTTTTTGCAAGTGTGCGCCATGAGAAAGTTTCAGTAGTTAATCCGCAGTGTAAACAAGGATGCGCCTAAAATGTCAACAAAACAATTTACTTCTGGACGATAATAGATCTCATATTACTTAAAAGTAAAGGCATCTTATGTATTTTTCCCCTTTTAACACCTGTTTGCTTCATGTAACCAAAAAACTAAAACACCTTCTATAGAGTGACCAGACGTCCCCATTTATTCGGGACAGTCCCAGTTTTGAGCCCTGTCCCCCTGTCCCAGCAGATTTATCAAAAACAAGTGATTTGTCCCAGTTTTATACAAGAAATCTCCAAGGCGTCCCTATTTTTGACCAGTTTGATAACTGTAAACAATAAAGAGAGGCATACATTGTAATTTGTTTAGGTAAAATACAAATAATCTGCTTAAAAACAACAAAACACAAAAAAGTGTGACTATACTGGTTCACATGTTAGTCCTGAATGGTCTTTGCGTAACAGTTTTTCTTAATTACCTACTCATTTCACCATTGTATTATTACCAACCACCTTAAAAACAAAGATGTCCCAGTTTTTTATTTTGAAATTCTGGTCACTCTAACTTTCTAAAAATGTTCTTCTCTGGAATGGCTTCATATTTGTTTTTTCAATGGATGAGTTGGCCTCTTTTTCGAGATGAGCCTCCTGTACTCTATAATGTGTGTATTTAGTTATATAAACACACATAACTGCTTTATAAGTGTTTGTCTGGTTGATTTGAATGCTGTTGCATGTTTTTCCCTTCTCCCTAATTGTGGCAGACGTCCATTATTCAGCATGAGTGGTTCTGTTCAGTCACTGTTATTGTGTGGTCTGGTGGAAGTGGGTTTTTGGAAGAATTAAAAGCACTGATTCGCCATTTACCCAAAGCTACAGCCATGTTGAAGTTGCTGGAATACTAGTAGGTTTTTTGTGGAGTGAGCTGGAAGTCTCTGTACTAGCTGTATCTGAAGGAGTTTCATTTCAGTTTAATTTACAGCATCAAGTGCCGCATAGTTTTGATGTAAAGTATACATTTGTTAGACCAGTTTTCAAATTCTGCTCATCCTATTTGAGAACTGTTGACCTGTTTTACTGTTACAAAGGTGAAGATAAATTAAGACTAACCTAATTTTATCTAGATTCAACCCATGATTTTCAGCTATTTATTTTCACTACTTATTTTGAATTTATTATTTCCATTATAGTGCTACTTTTTGTTATTATATATCGAACAACATTATGGTTAGTTAACTTTATAACACTAATAATGTGTTTTATTTACATTTGGACATAAATCTCACAGAAAATGCTACACAAAAAGTTAAACATGATGACTTGAACTTGAATGACTGAGATCTAAGCCCAGGTCTGTTTTGGTGAAACCTGCACAGAGACTGAACAGAAGCACGCTGAGCTGCTGCGGATAAACCGACACAGTTTAGTTTAATTTCCAAAGGGTACAGTTGAACTTGAAATGTCGTATGCTTTTTGGATTTGCACTTGGAGCAGGTGTTTAGCAGAAGGGAACATAAACTGAGACAATGGTGCATTGAATGTCCTTAAATCTGGGGACAATGACCCAGAGCAAACGTACGAGTAAAGAGTGAGCAGCAGCAGCAGAGGATAAAACAGCACATCTTTAGTCTGCAGCTGCCGCCGCCATTGTCCCTTTGGTCACGGCCCGGCCCCAGTGGGACTCAGGCTCAGGGATTATGAATATTTCAACTGGACACAACGCACTGATTGAGATTTGAAACATTTTAGAGCAGTTTTCTGTTATAATATTTTACAATGTTTAAAATTTTGATTTGGTCTGACCCTTTTTTGTTTTACATGCAACAGTTTGTGCAAGTTTCGTGCAAATCATCTGAGGGGCTTCATATGAAAACATAAAAACATGTGAAGGGGTCAATAACACTTTGAAGAATAATTTACTTTTGCATACTTGAAAAATGTAATATAAACGTTGCTATTTTTAGGTCGGTGTTATATTGTAAAACTCATTTAATTGGGGACATAATGATCAAATGACATGGTGAGAAGATACTGGCACTCTAAAAATTCCTGCATGAGCCTTTAGTGCATATTAAAAAGTTAATTAGGCTTAAGAATGATTGGTGTGGCTCCAAAACTTAATATGATACAAGAAATTACTCAAACAATGAAGCAAATGTGGGACTTTTGATAATGCAAACACTTAATACCTAACATGTAAAGCACTTTGGGTAGAGTGCTTGTTTTGTTAATCTTTTTCTGACAAGTACAGCAATTGTGCTTAGGTTTGCGATGTTTATTTTGTTCACAGTAGCGTTGACATTTGAGTAAAGACTGAAGTAGAACTGATAAACTAATACAAGAATTCCATGAACTTCAGAGCATGATTGTAGGTCTAAGTATATGCAACATGTAGAAGATATTACTTTTAAAAGACAGGGTATTTTGTTCTTGCAGTTTGTGATTTGATAATTAAACTTTGACTTAGAGAAATGATTTGGACACAGTAGCTCACACATCTCAGTATATTATTAGTATTTTATTTTTACTTGTACATATACAATTATATAATTATGCATTACTTGACACTGATTTATTATATTTTTGCTCTTAGTCATTATAATTATATTGTGATGTGTGAGCTACTGCGTCCAAGTCATTTCTCTTACTTTCCTCTTTGTCTAAGTCTATATTATAATGACAAAGCGCAGCAATAAATGGTAATAATAAATAAAAAATATTAGTATTATTCTATTCATATCCATTACTTTGACAATGTTTAAATCCAGACTCATATATGACTGAAAGGTTTTTATTGCGCACTCTTCTCTTTCTTTAATGTTAATTTTATGATGATTATTAATGTTTTGATTTGTTTTTATTGTGATTTTAATGTTTTTCTTGTCCTGTAAAGCACTTATTACTTTGTGTACGAATTGTGCTATCCAAATAAACTTGCCTTGCCTTTAGAGAGATTATTAACACTGTACACTTCTTTTGTTTCTTGCAGCAGGCAAACGAGGCTCTCCATCACCAGCACCCAGTGTCCGCCAACAGCCTGCTCCCACTGCTAAACTCCGGGACCGACCCTCCAGACCAGAAGCCCGTGTTACCCATCCCGCTGGACCAGAAGCCCCCGGTCAGCGCCGCCGAACTCCTCAAAGACAATGTGGCGAGCGGGGCGGGCATGAACTCTGTCGCGCCGGGGGGTCCTCCGGTGGTGGTCAAAAAGGAGCCCAAGTCCAAAACCCCATTTGTTTGCGGATACTGCGGCAAGGCGTTTCGAGACAGCTACCATCTGAGGAGACACGAATCCTCCCACACAGGAATCAAGATGGTGTCTAGGCCCAAGAAGACACAGAGCGCGCCCACCATGGTGCCGCTAATATCCACCGTCCCCCGAGAAAACAACGCCAACCAGTCCTACATCACCACAGTGGCAGGTACAAATGCATTTAGATCATGAGCGTGTATTTTGGACACATAGTGGACACAGCAGCTCACACATCACAATACATTGTAATAACAGGAGTAGAAAAAATAAATGCCCAGGTACCAACAATGGTCAAATGATCAAAATAGAAACATAACAATCTTCTACCTTCCTGAGTATTTGAAACTACATGACCAATGGAATCATTGTGCCTGTTTTTTTCCATTTGTGATTTACATCGCATTTAAAGTTGTTCATGAATCCTGACTGTTTTTACAGTCCTTTTATTAAAATTGGCAAATCAAAAGACTAAAAGCTGGGCAGTAGTACTAAATTACAACGTTTTATTCACTGTATTGCCTCTTTTTGTACTGTCTATAAGATGAACACATGACTCTGAATCTGCAAGTCTTTAAATGTTTAAATTTTTCTTTAACTTGAAATCATTAGCTTCCCTGTTGGTATTGGCTTTATTGACACATTGCAGGGATGCTGGGGGTTTTCCACAATGACACACATTAGCAAACACAAGCTGAGAAGATTTAAGTTTGTCTGTCTGAAAACTCAAGGAATTATTTAAACACCTAATATATCAGTATGAGCATTCATGGTCCTGTTGAGGTGTTCGAGTCAGTTTAGGTCAGTTCTTTCTGGTCAGATTGTGTTAAAACAAAGCTCAGGTTAAAGTCTAACTTGAGTAACAAAGCTGCAGACAGCAGTGTCTACAGTTAGCATCACACCCCCAGTGAGTGTTGATGACATCAGCTGTAGTTTAGTAGCATGTATAAGTAATATGCTTATATTATTATACTATTTATATGGCTATATTATTTCCATTTGAATGAGCTTGCCTTGTGTCTGAATGTGTATTATTGCTGTTGTTCAAGTTTGGACACACCCTGTCATTCAGTGTTTTTTTTTTTCCCTTTGTTTACTACTTTCTGTATTTTATATGCATACAGAAGACATCAAATATACGAAATAAGATGTATGGAATGGTCTAGTAAAAAGAAAAATTTTAATAGCTCTACTATTATATTTTTTGAGGCAAAGGGTGACAATTTTGTAGCCTGACTCATCAGCCGGTTTCACTTCGTAGAAACCGTTTGAACTCGCAGCATCAGAATTCGTTCGTTCGACGTTAGGCGGGTACTTTTTATCATTTAACCAATCGCTGCTGTTTGGTCTTGACATATGTAATGCGCTGCTAACAGGGGTAACTGGTTTATTAAGCTTTTCCCAAATCCTGTAGGAAGAAGGACAATAAAGTCTTTCCCCTTGATAAAATTCACCAAACATTCTCTTTGTTCCGACTTTAAATCCTCGATCTCTGGAATCGTTGACAACACTGAATATATGACTCTTTGCTGATTGGCTGGTGCCAGAACTTGCACTTTTGGGGTTTTAGCAAACCATCTAGTGTGTTACGATTCCTGACCTAGTTGCTGGAGAGAAATGAAATTGAGTGGAGGCACTAGGTGGCACCAGCCTGACTATCAACTTTGAGGATTTGAATATAAAATATGTATTTTAAAAACATTTTAGTTATTTGCCTTTTTCAACATAATTTCATACATCTTACTATTTTATGGCTTCTGTATGAAGGCACAGCAAGTTTGTATAGCACAGTTCATAAACAAAGTAATTCAAAGTGCGTTACAGAATAAGAACGACATTAAGATCACTATACAAAGAATAAGATACACATTAAAATCATAATACAAATACATCAAAACATAAATGATCATAAAGCTAACATTAAAAGAGGACAGTGCTGAATAAAAAACCTTTCAGTTATACACAGCCAAACAAATGCAGAAAGTAGTCCAAATAAAGAAAAACAAAAAATTATTGAATGAGATGGTGTATCCAAACTTTTGACTGGTCTTGTATGTCTAAACTGACTTAACTGTGATGATGTCATAATTTCCAACCTTTTCTAATGAGTATTTGTATTGTCTAAGGACATATAATATCCCCCTCAGGTATCATGACGACCGCCACCACCTCCACGGCAACGGGCACCAGCGTCATGTCCCCAATGCACCACCAGCACCAACCACAGCAGCACCAACCGCAGCAGCAGAACATCCCCAAGAAGCCCCCAAAGCCCGTGAAGAAGAACCACGGCTGCGACATGTGCGGAAAGGCCTTCAGGGACGTGTACCACCTGAACCGGCACAAGCTCTCCCACTCCGACGAGAAGCCCTTCGAATGCCCCATCTGCCAGCAGCGCTTCAAGAGAAAAGACCGGATGACCTACCACGTGCGCTCCCACGACGGAGGGGTGCACAAGCCGTACATTTGCTCTGTCTGCGGCAAGGGCTTCTCCAGGTCAGAACAGTTCAAAAATAATAATAATGTGAGATGTGTTGTGTGTTAAAGTGGCATCTGCAGACATCAGGGGAAAAGATAAGTATTTAAATTGCTTTAGAGTCATGAATGTGAAATGGTGCAACTTTGAGACTTGTAGTTGTGTCTAGTCAGGCCTTCTTCAGAACTGCTTATTCATGGGTTAGTACTTATTTTTTCAAATGTAGTAAAGGAAGACACACCAACAGAGGTGCAAATACAAGGAGAAACTTGAAAGAGCATAGCACTGTGCACTCAGGTAGCAGATGTCCACAACATTTTTATTTCAAATCTATATTTCATTAAAAAGCTTTCATCAGATAATTTCTTTTTCATTGGTCCAGGAGTGTGGAATATTGTGTAGTTCTTGCTTAGATGTGCTATACAGTTCCGATAGAGACCTGGTTTACATTTGATAAGCGACAAATATTTTCATAACTAAACATTTAAACATAAATTAAGTGTGAAAAGGTTTCAAATGAGAGACATTTTTCTAACTATTACTGGTATTTATTCTTATTGTCTATATAATAAAATACCATTGCACAATTTTTAAAAGTTTTTTATCCCTCTTTTCTTGCACAGACCGGATCATCTCAGCTGTCATGTCAAACACGTCCACTCCTCAGAGCGGCCCTTCAAGTGCCAAGTAACGGTAAGATGAGAGATTGAAGACCTAAAATTATGCACCACTCTCTTCCATTTTAAAAAGAAGTTTAAATGTTTAACTCTGGGAAGATACATTAATTATAGGCATGTAACAATAACTGAAATATCGCGATATCGTATCGTCAAAGTTCTTGTGGACCATCACAATATATCAAATTAAATTAAGAGTTATGGTGCTGCAATGGCAAAAAAAAAGACATTGAGAACTAATACATAGACCATGATCCTTTGCTCCATTTCAGTGTAAACTACAAGAAGAAATAACCGTTCTAAGCACTTTTAAGTCTTAGTTAATGTTGGATTAAGTCTTGTTAAAAAAAGTAAAAAAGTAGAATATGAACAGTTTTAGCTGTTTTGCCTCCACAAAATATTGCAATAAATACCATACCATGAGATGTATATCGTAAAAATATCGTACGGAGAGATTTGGATATTGTTACATCTCTAATCATGAGCTTTCCCACCATATCGCAATAAATATTGTACCATGAGGTTCATACCGTGACGATATCGTATCCTGAGACTTGGATATCGTTACACCCCTAATGAATTATGAGACTTAGTTTGTGCTGTAGTACTTTGTTGTACTGTTACTGATTTGTTAGTTTCCTCTTGCTGTATTTATGAATTTGAACTGGTGTCAAGATGACGCTCTGATAAAGGATTAAAGTGTAGGCAGAATAAGATCAAGCTTCAGCCCACACCTTTTCGGTCTGTGTATGTTAAATATGACTGTGAAATAATGTCAGAATATACCTGTGACCGAAATCAATCAATCAATCTAACAATCAAGATGAGAAACCTGGTTTATACTGTAGGTCTTTATTACCCAATAATAACGAGTTTATCTGAACAATTGAATAGTTTGTTCAAAGAACCTTAAAAATAAATTCAGACTAATCTAAATAAAGAATACAAATGAGGCATAGCACTGTGACGATAAAAATCTAATCACAAGTTTATCCCTGTGTCACTATTTTGATTCATTGCTTCTGTTACCTGCAGCTTTATGCTCAAACCCACATATCCCCGCCCACTCCTCCTATTGGTCAACCTCGGTCATGCTTTGAGTGAGTGACAGCTAGATCTACCAATCAGCCAAGCAGATGTGTTCAAGCTCCTGCATACATGAATTGTGATCAAATCAATTTAAAAAAAAATCTGGCTTATTGCCCATTCAAACTCACTAAGCTTGATGACCCTTCCCCCTCGTATAAACCCAGTAAATCCCTCTAAGCCTCTCATTTTGCCCCTCAGGCCTGCACCTCTGCCTTCGCTACCAAAGACCGCCTGCGCTCACACATGATCCGACACGAGGGGAAGGTCACCTGTAACGTGTGCGGAAAGATGCTGAGCGCCGCCTACATCACCAGTCACCTCAAGACCCACGGCCAGGCAAACTTCAACAGCAACAACCAGCAGTGTAACAAAATAGGTGAGCACATGCACTATATGCAAATTACACATGTACAAACTCAAATGTACTCAGAGACCACTGAAAAAACGTTTGTTGGTGTTAGGGATGGGACAAGACTCTATCCCCACAATATGCAACAGAAAGCCTGTCTTGATTTGGACTTTTTAAACGTATCGTCTTATTTTGTTTTGAAGCGATAGCTGCACAGACGTGACTACACAGCTCTTATAGCTATGTGGTTAAAAAAAAAAAAATGTTTCAGGAGAGTTTTTAGTGAATAAAAATTGCATATATAATCAAAAGCGGCCCAAAATATCTTCAGAGTTTATTTGCCATCGCTTTCTTTATATGGAAAAAAAACAATATCAGTCATCTCTCATCACGATAACACCTTTTTCAAGTTTGATATATCACTAAAGTAAACGATAAGAGATAATATTGAAAGTAATTTATGCCACTGACAGAACAACTCAAGAGCAGATTTAAACAACAACAGAGTCATAGAAGTAATTTATTCAACTTTTTCCAACTCAAATCTCATCATATAGACAAAAAAATCTAATTAAAAATTCTCAGTAGTTCAAATCAAATAAATATGATTATTGTGACAGGCCTAGTCACATTTATACTAAAGAAATTGTGCTGTTTAGTTCACAGTTTTGGCCAAACAATTGTTTGTTACTTTATATTTCATTGGCGACTGGCTGCGGTTACACGCGCTCCGAAATCTAATGGTTTTGTGGTTTACATGTCATTTTAATAGTTTTATAATTCAAAAGTTTTTTTAAAAATTCAGATTTTGTGTGTGTACGTAACTGCTGCCATCGTAACTCTCCTTTTTTGCTTCCTACTGCTTTTCAAAAGATAGAACTTTCTCGCATTACAAAAAAAAAGGGGAAAAAAAAAAAGACAAACAACAAATTTCAACAATATTTTAACTTGCAAAACCGTGTGGCATAAAATCTTGTTCCATCCCTAGTTGGCCAGCAGAACAGCAGGCTTGTGTCTGGCACTGATCTAAAAGCCAGATACCAAAAGTACAGTGGAAAAACTTTGACTACAAGACCTTTAAAGGGCCTATATTACATTACCTCATCACAAACATACCTGAACAAGTGTTTTGTTTCATTCACACATGTTTAACACACAAACCCTGCATATTTAGGCTGAGGTTTTCTCTCAAACGGAAAACACTCACCCTCCACCTTGTGATGTCTACTCCAATGTGTTTTTAAAGCCCATACACTTTCACTAGAATCATTTAGATGATTTCAGCACTCTACTGAACAATACGTAAAAGCTCTTAATAATGCAGGATTACTCAAATGTGTGAATGAAACAAAACAACTCCAGGTTTGTTTATGATGAGGTAACAACATTCTGTTCTCATTACACTGACTGTAAACAAGTTTTATGTTTTAGTGTTGTGTAGATTCTTGAGGCTTTATCTTCATCCACACATTCTGATTTTGTCCCCTCAGTGAAAGGCTTGCCACAGAACGCCTACCCCCATAGACCCTTTAAGAAACTGTAAACAAAAACAGTCTAAATTTAAGAGTGGAGGCAGCTGGAGGCAAAAGTGAAGAGAAACATAATTTGACTTCAGTGATGGAAACCACAATTAGTCACGGACTATCACAATATATGTAAAATCAAGAGAAATATGGCAAAGAATTGAATTGAAATTTAACTGAATTGGAAAAATAGGGCTGGGTATCATTAAGAAGTTGTCAATATGATACATACCTCGATACATGGGCCACGATACGATACATGTTTTGATATAGCGATCTTACGATTCGATACAATTCAGTGCGATATATTTTGATTGAGTATGGTTCAATAAAAAAATCATGGTTGTGTTACCTTGTTAAACCACTTCTTGTGCAAAGTGAATGTGAAACACGCCCATTTTAATAATCAAAACAGTGAAAATCTCAAATGTGTTGCATAAACAAGTTTCCGTCCACTAAACAAGCAATAAAACTGTAGTGCAGTAACAATATAATTTCGTAAAATATGCCAAAAAGTACTCTTGGCGATATATCGATACAGCAGCCCACGATATTGATACTGTATCTTCACATTAAATGATACTGTATATTGATTTTTCAATATTTTTTGCACACCCCTAATGGCAAATGAAGTCCACTCTGATACTTGTGAGTGACATCAGCTAAACCTTGACAATTGTGTTTTATGTTATTTGTTGATTTAATGACATTACGGGACATTTTAGTGGGCAAATCTTTTGTCATTTCATCTACAAATAATTTCACATTTCATTATAAATTAGCAGATTTTTCCATCCTTCATAAAAGAGGAGCAGTGTTCTATATTTTTTGCTGTAATGTCATAAAAGCATCAGTTAATCGTTGTGAATATATTATGTTAGCTTCATTTTACCTCTAGCTGCCTCTTTTCCAGAATTTTGACCATTCTGACGATGTAGGATTTTAAAGGGTCTATCAGTAGTTTTAGCAGTAGCCGTAGTAGTAGGTATAGCTGTAGTAGCGGTAGTAGTATCCAGCCCCAGTTCTCCCCCTGCTCTGTGTAACCCCTGTGTCCTTATCTCTGAATAGGCCAAAGTGACTGGCAGTGGAACCACTCAGGGCCCAGAAGAGGTAAACCGTAGCGAGTAGAAACAACTCACGATCAACACAAAGTGCCCATTTTGTTTTGTTTTTTTGCCACTGCACTTCTCTACACTGTGAAGGCCAGCTGTAGGTAGCCCTTACATTCACAAGAGGATGCGTTTGCCATTTTTAAAGAGGCTAAATCTCACAAAGCAGGATCAGCAGGACCCCCGGCTCGATGCACACTGCACGAACTGAACCGAATCCTTAAAAGAATCCTTAAAAAACACAAATTTCCTCACAAGATTTGCCAGAAACACGTCTAAAATGAAGAGTGAATTAACCGATTTCACGTTGCATCAACTCTCTAATAAAAAAATAATGGATTTGATTATTTTGTGGCATCCATACGCAGATTTTCAACGCAACATTTATTCTGTCACGCATCAGCCATGTCAGTCCTATCCATGGGTTTCAAAATGATGAGAAATTACAACCGTTGTCATGGCAATTAATCATTTAAAAAGGAAATATGATGTCTTTTGATTGGGAAAACGTCCAATATTTATTCTATCACTCATCACCCATGCAAATCCTATTCACGGACTTCAGAATGATTAGAAATTACAACCGTTGTCATGGCAAAAATAAAGATGATCAATCCGTGTATCATACGTTCATTCGTTTTTCAATATAAAGCCAAGAATAAGAAAACAAAAAAACAACAGTTTTCTCCATTATTTATCTCCAAAACCAAAATGAAAAAACGGATAATGATTCGATTTTTTCAGTTTTCGATTTTGTGTTTAAATGAAGAATGGAAAAAACAGCCGTTTCCCGTTTACGTGACTTCCATGACTGCGATGCCGAACTTTTGCGCTGCATACAGACTGAACCAGGACTGAATCCGTTTTTTTCCTTTCTTCATTTAAACATAAAATCAAAAACTGAAAAAACTAATCATTATCTGTTTATTGATTTTGGTTTTGGAGATATAATAATGAAGAAAACTGTTGTTTTTTCATTTTCTTATTTTTGGTTTTATATTGAAAAACAAATGAACGAATGATACACGGATTATGATCTATCCTCAAAACCCATGAATAGCCGCAAGTGCCCTGGGGCGGACTGGGAGTAACACGGCTGCCAATCCAACACAAAGCAATGATTTTTGGCTGATTGTATGACCAGGACTCGGTGACACTGTAACTGTAGTGTGCATCTAGACACTGGTGTACATACGTGGATTTTGTAGACTGTTGTAAATTAAAGTAGTAATATTAGCAAAGTACTGATGTAGCCGAGTGAGTCTACTGATCCTGCTTTTTGAATTTACCCCTCAGGTGAGTTGACGGTAGGAGAGGTTTTAAATAACTCCTTCCAACTCCTAATTGACTACTCTCAAAAAGGTAGGTCCCTCCAACACCACCACAGCGCCACAGAGAGCCTGGACCGCTATAAACCCGCTCCATTCCACAACCGGTGAAAATTCAAAACGCGTCTTTCCCTTTTTTTTTGTTTTGTCCCGCCCGCAGATGCCAACAACGTGCACAACAACTCCGCCAGCACCACGCCCGTCACCAACTCGGCGGCCATCACCTCGTCGACTGTGAACCGAAACGCCAACAACCCGGTGACCATCGCGGCGCAGATGAACATCACCACGAACACGGTGAACATCACGGCCCCGGTGAACCTGCAGCACCCCTCCGCCGTCACCATCACCGGGCCCGTCAACCTGGCGTCGGTCAACATCCCCACGACGGCGCACATGAACCTCGCGCACCCCGTCGCCATAACGACCCCTATGCCAATGAATATAGCCGGTCCGCTCAATATAGCAATGAGGCCGATGGAGAGCATGCCATTCTTGTCCCAAGTCTTGCCCTCCTCCCCGCCCTGGTAGAGAGGGGACGGGCAGGGCAGGTTTTTGGGCGGACGCCGGGCTAAAATTGTCCTTCGAGTGGGTGTCACGGCAAAACAGAACTCAAATTATACAACGCGTGCGTGTAGAAGCGAATTAAGTCTCGATTTTTGTCGTTTTTTTAGCAATATTTTGGACGCTTTACTTTGCATTGCATTTATTCTTCACTCAAACAAATCGATACCGTAGCCTTATTTACCGACGGACTAAATAACGCGGATTAGAAGCTATGTTTCTGGGCTAGGCCGGTGAAGTGCCTTGCCCAAGGACACATCAAAAAAAGATGTGTGTAGTAATGATTGCTTCCAAGGAAAAAAAAGTTTGTAACGGCCGCATTTTGAAAACCGAAAATGCCAAGAAAAGTGTGTTCTTCCCATTTTCTTCATTGGATTAAAAATGATTTCATGAAGTACCGTATTTTCTGTACTTCTACTGTAGGGCGCTCTGGATTATAAGGCACACTGTCATTGAATGGTCTATTTTTGAACTTTTTTCACATATAAAGCACACCGGACTATAAAGCGCATTAAACTAAACATAACAGTTAGATAAGTCAGTCAAACTTTATTTAATGCGTTCACAATAACTCTCAAATTTGTTCAATTGTAACTCGTAAAAAAATACCGTCTGAGACGCTAAATTGTTAGAGTATTCACAATAACTCATAATAATTCAAACAGTTGGGCGATTACAGCGTCCAGCACGTCCACATCCCTCTCGTCATTATCCGAGTCAGTGTGGTTACTGTTCCCTGCAGTTCAGTGATGATTCTGGTCTTGGTGAAAGCTCAGACCACAGTTGATACTGATCCTTAGCCCAGGCGTCCATGATCCATTGGCAGGAAGTCTCCCTCTTCTCTCATCCACTGCTCCCACGCAGCTCGCACTTTCACTTTATAATAGAATTGAGTTTAAAATGGGCGTTATAAGCATGTCTCTTGACAGGTGCATTTTGATATTAAAAGGAATCACAATATGTTTTACTCCGCGATGCTCCTGACTATCATATATAAGGCGTCTGGATTATAAGGCGCACAGTCGTTTTTTGACGAAATTAAAGGCTTTTAAGTGCGCCCAATAGAGTGGAAAATACGGTATAAGTATTCAGTTTTGCTCAAGCGTTTACTAGTACTTTGTTTAGGCAAGTATTTCGTCATAGGAAATTATTCTGCCCACTCGAAGGACAATTTTACTTTCGCGTCTCACCCACTGGACAGTCTTTAGTCTCTTTATAGTCTCCATTTCTCATCGATTCAGACATTTGCATAGATTTTTATTACTACTACACATAGCTGAGAGAGAGCCAGATCAGTTTTCCTATTTAGCGCCCTTTCTCCTAATCTCGAATAGGTTTTTAGCTTTTGAATGACAGTGCTCTGACTTCAAAACTAGACATTGCTAACAAAATCTGATGACATGTGTTGCTGGAGTCTTAACCTGTTCCCGAAGCAGGTTTTTGTTTCTTTTTCTTTTTTTTTTTTTATATTATTTTAGTGGACTTTATCAGTATTTAATAGTTTGTATTTTGTATTAAAAAAACAAAAAAAACGACGCTTCCATTGTGGGGAAGGTGAGTGAATTAGTTATGTTCTTTTCACTCTATTTCGGTTCAATTGTGATTTTAGTTTTAGTTTCGCTTTGAACCCAATACTTCCCTTACTGTATTATTTTGTTAGAAAACAGTCAGTCATCACTACTGCTCATCCACAAATGTATTTCAATTTGTTTATAATTATGTAGTTTGTTTTTTTATTTCTCAAATGTCAATCAGGATAATGATGTATGAAAGTAGAGACATGGGCAATAGACGATAATGGACGAAAAAACGAAAACGTCACCAAAAAAAAATGTAATCATGAAGTAAGAAAGATCTTTATGAACTGGATTTCAATTTGATATGGATAATGAAATTGATACCTTGCAGTGACGTCACATTGGGGGTGTTCTACGCGTATCTCTACGGAAGAATGTCCAGCAGTTGCTATGGAGACTCGGTCCACACATGAGCAAACACTGACAAAAAAAGTTTAAAGATCAAATAAATAAAACACAGATTAAAAAAAACACTTTCAGGAGCCTGTGATCAGTCCTGTTTCAGAGTTTGATTTTTGTAAAAAAGTGGGGAAAAAAAGTTGTGACTGTAATTTTATTTGAGAGGGACGTGTTTAAAAGGACAAATCAGCTCTGTGGAACCTGTTGGAGTTCCAGATAAGTCGGTTGTTTTTGCTCACACAGAGTTAAAATAAAGCACAGATTAAAGTCTAAAGACAGAGCTGAGCCTACAGTTGGCATCACACTCCCAGGGTTATCTCAATAACATCAGCTGCAAAGTATCAATTTCTGTGGACAACTTGGGAAATTCCAAAAACGTCGCAATTTCGCATGATTACAAATTGCGTTAAAACTAGGTGCCAATTATCTGACACATTTGTTTGTCAGATTTCAGATACATTTTGTGAACTGATTTGAGATGGTTTCCGAATTAGTGTTCACTACTTTCTATTGCCTGTGTTGAAGATGTTAAAAGTGCCCAGTAGGTGGCAGTATTATCCAGAGGGAGTTGATAATATAAACTTGTATTATTTTTAAAGTCAAAAACTTGATTTACTGTAACACATCGTATCACTGTCGCGCAAACTCAGGAACAGTTACTGAGAACACCCTTTTCATTTACATTTTACGATTTAATTTACAGAGAAAAACACTATAAAATCTTCTCGCCAAATCCTGTAATGAGAAGTTTATTATTTTAATTTTATTTTATGATGATTTTTACGTTATTTTTGCCGTCCATTCAAGTTGACTCAAGCTGCTTTTCCTAACTAAACTGTACAAAAATCCGTACAACTTCAGTGCCGTTTAAGGAAAAAATAATGAAAAATGAAGACGTTGTACCTGATTTTTACATGAAACCGTAAATCTTAACGACTAACAGCTAGCATGTTAACACACACTTCCTGATTCTTGGCTGACGAAACACTTTATAATGATATGCAGATGTGTAGATATCAAGATCTGCTCAAATAAAAGAAAAAAAAAAATCAGGTACAGGGCCTTTTAAAAGTTTAAAATCGTAGAATTTACTTTACACGCTTACTTTTCTACGTCACATTTTAAGTAAATGTCAAAAATAAACAAAGAATCTATAGCTGTGTTCATCAGATTTCTATTTTTGTACTCGCATGGTCCAAAACGGCCGTCTTTCTCGTACCCTCTTGGAATCGCGTTGAAGTTGTATGGAGCAGCCTGCGACAAAAATACTAAAATACAAAAATTCGCACCCACGTCCCAAGCTCGCGTTATATATACTGTCGAAATCGAAGCACTTGCAGCTAGAATAACCATGTGCACACTACACGAGAGCGGTACTTTAAGGGCATTTGAGTCGGCAATGTCGGTTTGTTAACGTTTTTCTTTCGGAACATTTCAGTCAAAATTTCGTGCCTCTTGCTGACGTCGAATGCATGCCGGCAGCGTCCTGTAGGGGGAGTCGTAGCTCTGTAACGAAATGGCATTAACCTGATTTTAATATGGAGTGATGCATGTGAATGATGAAAGTAGAATGCTATAGTGATTTAAAGCAAAACACTAAAAAATAGGTCAAATGAGTGATGTCAAGTCCACAGACGGCGAATGAAGTGGATCAGAGGATCAGAGGAGGAGCGCTGTGTGACTTTTTGGTTCGGGAGAGTCCGTCAAATGCTTGTTTCTATGGATACATCGTTGCTCTGCCTGGAATATTCCAGTGTGACATTAAACAGGTCTGCTTCTTTACGTTTATTCGATTACAGGTGGTTTTACAGCTCAAATATACCCGAAAAACAGCATTCTGACTGTGAGCGGGGTCGCCTCTCCACAGATCTGACCTGTAGCTTTGTCTGCTTTGGTCTCCATGGAGATAGAAAGGTTTAAAGCCGTACTGCGAAACATTCCAGACGACGCAATAACATCACAACGAAAATCATTTGATGGACCCTCCACCAGAAAAGTTACACAATGCGCGTTTAAGGTTTCACACACTTAAATTTAGGTATTTTTTTCAGAAATTGGTGCACTGTGTAGCTTTCTGGTGGATCATTCTTTGCCTGGAATGTTCCGCAGTATAGCTTTAATCTTGCCTATCATGCATTTGTTCAGTTGGGTGTTTTCTAGCCTTGGAAAACATGTATTCTTGCTATTCTGTGGGTTCGCCTCTCCACAGATCTGACCTTTTTAAACTTGTCCCGGTTGTGTCACCTGCTTGTTTCTATGGATACGTCATTGCTCTGCTTGAATGTTCCACAGTATGACATTAAACAGGTCTGCTTTTTTACGTTTATTCAATTACAGGTAGTTTTAAAGCTCAAAAATAACTCCAAAAACAGCATTCTGACTGTGAGTGGGGTTGCCACTCCACAGATCTGACCTGTAACTTGATCTGGTTTGGTTTCCATGGAGATAGAAAGGTTTAATGCCATACTGTGAAACATTCCAGACGACGCAATAACATCTCCATGGAGAAAAACATTTGACAGACCCTCCACCAGAAAAGCTACACAAGGCAACTTTAAGCTTTTACACACTTTAATTTTGGAGTTTTTCATTGGTTAGAAATTCTTATGCACCGTGTAGTTTTCTGGTGGGTCATGCTTTGCCTGGAATGCTCCGCAGTGTAGCTTTAATCTTGCTTATCACGCATTTATTCAATCAAACAAGCCTCGGTAAACATGCATTCTTGCTGTTTTGTGGGTTCGCCTCTCCACAGATCTGACCTTTTTAAACTTGTCTTGGTTGTGTCACCTGCTTGACTCAATGCAGATAGATGGATAAGTTTAATGCCGTACTGTGGAACATTTCAGGCAAAGCGATAATGTCCCAAGGTGTCAAGCAGCTGGCAGATCCTTCAGAAAATTAATGTAATGCATCTTTAAAGGTGCATTGTGTCACATTTCTGGTAGAGATATTGTTGCTTTTTTGTCTGGAACGTTCCACAGTATGGGATTAAACCTTTCTGTTGTCATGGAGACCAAACTAGAACACATTACAGGTCAGATCTGTGGAGAGGCGAACCCACGCGAGAGCAAGAAATGAGTCAGAATGCCTGTTTTTTTGTTTTGTTTTGTTTTTGTATGTATTTTTGAGCTCTAAAACCACCTGTAATTGAAAAACGTAATGTAGAGGTGTTTAATGTCATACTGTGGAACATTCCAGGCAGAGCAATGACATCTCCATAGAAACAAGCAGGTAAAGGACATGGCTAACCTGGTAGCTCCAAATAGAAAGTGAAAATGGGGGCACTTCAGGCTCCATTCACGTTGGACTGACAACCGAAAAGTTACACAGAGAACTTTTTTAAACTAGAAAATCCCAAGTATTTTTTGTTGATAATCTAAACCCCTGCATCCTTTGCTCCACTCGTTTTGCGTCTTTGGCCCTTCCCAGTTTTAACAGCGTGCCTGAAAGAAAACCAATGCTTCCTGTTGTGCGTGTGAGGTTTGGAAAGAGCCTTCATCACAGACTCGTATTTTTAAAAACGTTATCATTGTTTATCCGCCTTTGAATGAATGAATTTTTATTTTTGTATCTTTTGACGGTGACATCCATTTTTCTTTTCTATGATTTCCAAGTCTAATGTGAAAAAACCTGCATTTATTTGGCCAAATAATTAGACTTTTATTTTCTGTGAAGTTTTTACCATAGATTTTGGCAGAAAACGTGAAGGCAGTTGAATGTAATATCTTTGTACAAACTGTTAGAGGATGTTAGCTATGACACAGGAGAAATAAGTAACCTTTTATACATCTTTTTGTATTAGAACATTATCGATGGTAATTTTTGTATATACGAAGGTTAGGCTTTCTGATTAGCAGAAAGGTTAAACATTCCTACATTTTTTTTAAATGTATGTCCATTGAAAATAATTATGTAAACATATGCGCAATGTTTTATGTGCCTTTTATTTGGGTTTGTCTAAATAAAAGAAAACAATAAAACATGATTACAGATTCTTGTCACTTTCTTCATAAGATTTAATTCAGTAGACACGCAATCCCAGGACTGAAGTTATCCAAATGATTCTAGTGAAGGTGTATGGAGATTAAAAACACAGTGGAGCACTTACCATATTCCCAAACAAACTAAAGTCCAGAGCTGTATCTTATTTCTCTTTCCTCGCTTCCTTCTCATTGATTCCTCTCCTCGAATCTGCGGGAAATAGGACCCACCCACAGAGGGGAGACGGCGAGGAGAGAAGAGCTAAATTCCTCACTGAGACTGATAAGTTTGATTGTTTTCTCTGGTGTCTGTCTCCCTCATGTTTACTCCTTTCTGTGATTTTCTTTGGGACACAACTTAATATAACGCACTTGATTGGCAGCTAGAAAATGCAGGATCGAGGAGAGGAATCAAGAAGAAGGAAGCAAGGAAAGAGACGCAGCCGAGGTATGTTTGTGATGAGGAAACTTTATAACAAAGATCAGAAAATAGTATAATATGGGCCCAAGTCTTGTCATGATACTAAAATATTGGTGTATAGCTTTACTGGAGTCTAACTGTAAATGTGTTATATTTCAGTGCTGTGATTGGATCATTGCTCTTGTATAAGGGGAGTGGAAGGGGCTGTCCTCATACCTGAAGAAGATCTGAGGGACCGAAACGTTGTACCAATAAAAGAAAAATCAAGAGTGAGACAGTGGGCAGGAGTTTTCTTTAAAAATGATACTAAAATGTCAAATTTGGTTTTTGATATTATGGAATTCCCTCAATATCAATTACACTCCCACAGTGAAGATTAAATATATATATTTTTGTGAAATCTAGAATAAAATTTTCTGATTATTATTATGCATCAGTTTTATATAGTGCTTTTCTGGACACTCAAAGACGCTTTACAGAGCATTATTTATTCACTCCAGACTCAGTGGTGGTAAAGTACTATTGTAGCCACAGCTGCCCTGCCACCACTTTCATACTAGGCAATGTGGGTGAAGTGTCTTGCCTATGGACACACAGACGGTTTTTGGAACTGTCGCCCAACTGTGGCACCTGATTTTCCCAGTGGTCTCTCATCCAAGTTCAGACCAGGCCCGGGCCGGGCTGAGCTTCTGAAATCTGACAGGATTAGGCTTTGACAAACTGGTATTATACACAAAATAATAATAGTACTACTCTTTATCCTAATATGAGGTCTTATATTCTCTCTGCTCCCGCTGCAGACGGCTCCTCTGATGGTGCTTTCTCAACTGGTTCGCCTGTATTCAGCCTCACATTTTATTGTGTCTGGTTATGTATTTTAGCGTGTGTGTGTGTGTGTGTGTGTGCATGTTTGTGTGTATGTGAGTGTGTGTGTTTGGGTTGTTTGACTATGTGGGGTTGGGGGTGCGGGGGTTGGGTTGGTGGGTGGGTGGTTGGGTGGTTGGAAATGCGGGACTGTTTTTAATCACTGTAAAGCACTTTGTGTTGCATTTTGTATGAAAAGTGCTTTATAAATAAAGTTTGATTTGATGATGATTTGATGATTATATTCACTCCAATAAAGTTAAAATCACAATATAACTGTTCAGGAAAGCTCAAATTTTGGCTTGTGCTCAAAAAAGTATTTCATTTCAGTATCAATTCGTATCTGATTTTTGATTTTTGACCACCCTAATTTGTGTTAATGATCTCTTGTTAAACACAAAAACTTCCACAGCAATTTCAGATGTTTATTGACATTTTTACAGTGGCAAACATTGAACAGATGCACACTTGAGTTTTCATTCAGGTCCCATTTTCTTTAAAAGACACTACACAGTTTCATCATAAATATTTGAAGCAAAGGGAGAAAACCTTGAGGTATTCTACACAGTTCATGTATAAACAGAAGATTATTTACTTTTTGTAATAAAGAAACTCAATGGGGAAAGTAATGTATTTGTTTAAAGGTCCTACGTTATGTGAAAGTGACTTGAGCTTGAGCATCAAAAACAGACCTGGAGTTGTGTTTTATTTCAGTCACATTTTATTATTAGTCTGTTTACATCTCCAAAACTCAAAATTCTCTGTTCCACCTTGTGATGTCATGAAGTGGTAGTTTTCAAGTTAATAGCTCCTAGTTCAGTAGAGAAGAGGGAAACACTGAAATGACCCAAATGATTCTAGTGAAGGTTTATGGAGTTTAAAAATACTGTGGAGCACTTCCTGTATTACCACATGACATCACAAGGTGGAACAGAGTGTTTTCTGTTTTAGAGAAGAACTCAGCCTAAATACGCAGGGTTTGTGTGTTAAATGTGTGAATGAAACAAAACACAACTCCAGGTCTGTTTGTGACGAGGAAACAACAATTATAACAGATCAGAAATTACTGTAATATGGGCCTTTTATTAAAACATTTGGGCTACTTTAAGAGCACAAGAACCTCTACAGATGCTTTATTTAGTTTAAACCAGTGTTCCCCAAATTTCTTTTTCCAGAGACCCATATTTTAAAAGTCACAAACCAATCCGATCCAAGTCCATTACTGAACATTAATGAGGATATTTTATTGTTGACTGAGTGATCATGTCTCTGAACAATTACTTTAACTCAAGTTTTAAACAATGAAAAACAATCACTGAAGCAGCAATAAAAGGATCCATAAGTCGCCTATTCTTTTTCTTTTCAACATTCAATTGAAGCAGCAATATTGGAACAAAACAGTCAATACAATAATTACAAAAAGATTAGAAATTATACAAAACATGTCTTAACATTTCAACAAGAGTCAGAACTGTATTTTGCAGACCTATATGCAGATTGTGACATGGTGACCCCAAAAATATCTCTTGTGACCCACCTGAGGGTTATGACCCAGTCTTTGGGAAACAATGGTTTAAACAACCCATTTTAAAGCTGCATTGTGTAACTTTTCTAGTTTACGGTCCATTAAACACTTTTCTCCATGGAGATGTTATTGCTTTGTCTGGAATGTTTCACAGTATGATATTAAACCTTTGTATCTTCACGAAGACCAAACTAGACCAAGTTACACATCAGATCTGTGGAGAGGCGATCCTGGTCACAGTCAGAATGTTTGTTTTTCTAGGTATTTTTGAGCTGTAAAACCACCTGTAATTGAATAAATGTAAAGTAGAGCTGTTTAATGCCATACTGTGGAACATTCCAGGCATAACAATGACATATCCATAGAAACAAGCAGGTGATGGACCCTCCACCAGAAAAGTTACACAATTAAACCTTCAAACCACTTTCTGTAGCCAACATTTAGTATTACACAGACACCGACCTTGTCTTTAGCAGCAGTTTTCCTCAGTTTGCAACAAAAAAACAAACATTTTAGCAGCATGCACATTCTCAAGAGCAGTCATTTTGCTCCATGTTATATTTTAATTGACCAGAGACGAGCTGGGTTTCTCCTGGAAGTCTTTATGAAACATGGAATGCATAGAAAACACACTATCGATGTTAATACTAAGATTTGAGGTTTACTAAGATTCCCACGATCTGTAAACTGCACGTACCCAAAGACTGCAACGTTATTGTGCTTTTCAGGTTCTTGTTTGATATGGAGGACTCAAACTACTGCAGTGTTTTAAATCGGTTTCTCTTAGCGACGCCTGTTTTACCAGTGAACACTTGAGACTCTAAAAAATCCACCATCAGAAGTCTTGACGTTCATTTGGTCTTCCAGTAATTTATGTTATTAAGTTCTTTATTCAGACCAAGAGTTTGTTTTCGTACCTGACAGTTTGGACTGCTCACTAGCACTCTACCTCAAAGTGGTCACGTGATGTTACTGAGACCAATAAATCAGCTGACCAGACACAATCAACTGATTTAAACAGGTTTTGGTGCTGTCTTCCTACCAGTGGAGGCAGGACAACACCACCAACTGCAGTCCAACTTCCTCAGGACAGTATCCCTGGTGAGTAAATAAGGCCCCTTGATCCGGTTTATAGTCCTGGTCTGCTGTAGGTGGTGCCACCTAGTGCCTCCACTGAATTTAATTTCTCTCCAGTGACTAGATCAGGAATCAGAATACACTAGACGGTTCGCAAAAACCCCAGAAGTGTGAGTTCGGGCACCAGCCAATCAGTGAAGAGCCTTACATTCTGTGTTGTCAAGGATTCCAGAGATTGACGATTTAAAGCCAGAACAAAGAGAATGTTTGGTGAATTTTATCAAGGGGAAAGATATTATTGTCCTTCTTCCTACAGGATTTAGGAAAAGTTTAATCTACCAGTTAGCCCCGTTAGCGACGCATTACTTTCATCATGACCAAATAGCAGCGAATGGTTAAATTAAAAAAGTACCCGCCTACTGTCGAGTGAAAGAATCCTAATGCTGTGAGGTCAGACAGGTTTCACTTCGTGGAAACCGGATGATGAATCAGGCTAGGTTCACTGGGCTTCTTTACAAAAAACAAACTCTTGGTCTGAAAAAAGAACCTAATAACACACATGTCTTATTTTTATGGTTATTAAAAGGTGTTATAGAACATTATTCATGCCCTGGTAGAGTTTTAGCCCACCCCTTCCCCCCAAATACACACACATAAACAATCAAATCAAATAAAAATAATGTGGTAGTGCTGCATAACCATACTGCTAGGCCCCCTTTTATGTATATACATTTATGTATATACTTTTATGTATATACAGTATATTCTATATTCCCTTTTGTAATGAGTCACTACTTTGCTAAATGGTCACATTTTTATACAGCGCTTTTCCACATTAAAGGCACTCTAAACTCTTTACAACAAGGAAACTCTCACCCATTCCCACACCAGTGTACGCAGACACTGGGAGAGAGGTGGGTTAAGTGTTTACTCCAAGGACACAATGACAGCATTCATCTGTGGAAGCTGGAATCACACCGCCAGCCTATGGGTCAGTGGACACACACTCTACCAACTGAGCTACTGTTTCTCCACTTTAAGTCACTTAGGCTACGTTCAGACTGCAGGGCTTAATGCTCAATTCGTATTTTTTTGTGAAATCCAATTTTTTTGCGAGG